CTACATTTGAGTGAGGTGGAAGGGGTGATGTGGCATTAACACAAGACAGAACAAGATGTGGCATTAATAGGGTATTAATTTCATCAACACAAGACAGAACAAGGGTATTAATAGGGTATTAATTTCATCAACACAAGACAGAACACGAAACAATGGATATTGAATAGAAGTGTTTGTAGAAAGCCTATTGGTCCATATTTCTTGATGCTTCTATATTGGAGCGGAGTCTTGAGGTGGGTAGAATATAGTTGTGCAATAATTGGCTGTTGATTGCTGGTGTTGACTTCTTGATGTGTAGTGCCTCGCAAACGTCAAGCCGCCTGCTATCGCTGTATCTATCGATGATTTCTGTGTTGTTTACTAGGATTTCTCTGGCGATGGTTTGGAGTGGAGAAATAGCAACATCGACGATAGTATCCGTACCCGCATTGAACAACACCTCGACATCCTCACAGACCAACATCACCTCAGCACTGAAACAAGGATTATCAAGAAACTAACAACATTATATGGAGGACCTATGGCAATTCCACGACCAAGAGATGGCTTCCTGAACCTTGCAGGAATTAACCTCACTGAGGACCAAGTCACTCTCCTAAATCTGGGCATAAACTGTCATGTTATGTCCAGACCGAGTGAGATGGCCCGGAAAGTAGAGTTGGAAATTCTGTTGGACGACATATTCGACCTCGAGACACAAAAGAAGGTCACTACCAAAGATACCTTACAAGCAGAACTTATTGCAGAAGGAGGAAAGAATCGAGGCAACTACAGAAGCACCATACTGTCCCCCGAGCTTAAAGCGGCAGCTAAAAGCCTTCGTGAGAACAAGGAGATAGTTGTCAGGAGAGGTGACAAGTCGCCAATATATGTCATTCTTAAAAAAGACGAATATCTGGCGAAAATGAACATCATACTCTCTGACCAAACTAAGTTCCAAAGGGTAACGAAGGACACTACAGACGAATTAAAAGCAAAGGTCAACAAACTGATCGAAACTGTGAACGCCAAGAAATCCGGACTCCAACTGCCAAAGATCATTGGGGAATATAAACCTGGATATGCGTATGGAAATGTCAAGACGCACAAGCCTGGAAACCCACTTCGGCCAATCATTAGCCAGATACCCACACCCACGTACAGACTGGCGAAGCAACTCAACGGCCTGCTGACTCCTTATGTTCCTTGCGCCTTTAGCCTGAAGTCTCCAAAGGAATTTGTTGACTTACTGCGGGGCACACGGGCCACAGGGATAAGAGCCTGGTTGGACGTAGAATCGCTGTTTACCAACGTACCTGTGGACGAGACAATCGGAATGATAGCCGACAGAGTGTATCGTGATCCAGCCTGTACTCCTCTTGACATACCAGAAAATATTCTGAGGAAACTACTCCAAGCTTGTACTAAAGAGGCACCCTTCTTGAGCCCGGATGGGCACATGTATAAGCAAGTAGATGGGGTCGCCATGGGTTCTCCCCTAGGTGTCCTGTTTGCAAACTTCTACATGGGTACCATCGAGCAAAAAGTCTTAGTCGACATAAACTTGAAACCGGCCATATACTGCAGGTATGTTGACGACATTTTTACACAGGTACCTGATGTCAGACATCTGCAGGAGCCGAAGGAGGCATTTGAGCAGAGTTCCGTGCTGCGTTTCACTTACGAGATGGAAAAGGATGGGAAGCTGCCCTTTCTAGATGTAACAGTCATGGAAAAGGGCGGAGGTTTCCACACTGCAGTCTACACTAAGGAAACAAACATAAGAATGTGCCTAAATGACAACAGCGACTGCCCAGACAGGTACAAGAGGAGTGTTGTTAACGCATATGTCGACCGTGCTCTCAGCCACAGCTCAGAATGGAAGCAAGTCGACGAAGAACTCTGTAGGGTAAGGCAGGTCCGAGTCAATAACGGCTTCTCCAATGGTTTCATCGAAGACATCATAAGAAGGAAAGTGAAAAGCCATGCAACCTCTGAAGAGACAACTAACACGACACCCATACCCCCTATTAGACTATTTTACAGGAACTTCTTTTCCACAGCTCATAAAACGGAGGAAAGGGTCCTGAAAGATATTGTTAATAGAAACGTTATCCCTACAGACAAAAATCAGAGGATACAACTGACGATTTACTATAAAACCAGAAAAACGGCCAGCCTACTCATGAGAAACTCTCCAGACACAAAACAGAACGCTTTAAAAGAGACTAACGTCGTCTATGCCTTCAAATGCCCTCTTGGAGACTGTAAGCTCCAAAAAACCCAGTATATAGGCAAGACAACAACATCTCTTTCTAGGCGTTTAACGATGCATAAGCAACAGGGCTCCATTAAGGAACATATAATCTCTTCCCACAACCAAACCATCGCCAGAGAAATCCTAGTAAACAACACAGAAATCATCGATAGATACAGCGATAGCAGGCGGCTTGACGTTTGCGAGGCACTACACATCAAGAAGTCAACACCAGCAATCAACAGCCAATTATTGCACAACTATATTCTACCCACCTCAAGACTCCGCTCCAATATAGAAGCATCAAGAAATATGGACCAATAGGCTTTCTACAAACACTTCTATTCAATATCCATTGTTTCGTGTTCTGTCTTGTGTTGATGAAATTAATACCCTATTAATACCCTTGTTCTGTCTTGTGTTGATGAAATTAATACCCTATTAATGCCACATCTTGTTCTGTCTTGTGTTAATGCCACATCACCCCTTCCACCTCACTCAAATGTAGATATAAAATCGGAGATGCGTAAGTTCTATTCAGTTGTGTATTTGTGAACTAAAGTCTTTGAAAATGTAATAAGTTCTACGAAACGCGCTCGTGTCGCGTCAGACTAGAAATAAAAATGAATTTTGGAGAATTGATTTTTTATTTACCTCCAACAGTGAAACGAAATGTACGAAAGATTGAGAAAATTCGTGTTAGAATTATTAATCTTACTTTTTCGGTCATATTTAATAATATATGTCTACAGGAAAGACTGCTACCAAAATATACTAATATATATATATATATATATATATATATATATATATATATATATATATATATATATATATATATATATATATATACTATATATAATATATATATATGTCGTACCTAGTAGCCAGAACGCACTTCTCAGCCTACTATGCAAGGGCCGATTTGCCTAATAAGCCAAGTTTTCCTCAATTAATATATTTTCTCTATTTCTTTCTTATGAAATGATAAAGCTACCCATTTCATTATATATGAGGTCATTTTTTTTTTTAGTGGAGTTAAAATTAACGTAGATATATGACCGAACCTAACCAACCCTACCTAACCTAACCTAGCCTATCTTTATAGGTTAGGTTAGGTTAGGTAGCAGAAAAAGTTAGGTTAGGTTAAGTTAGGTAGTCGAAAAAACATTAATTCATGAAAACTTGGCTTATTAGGCAAATTGGGCCTTGCATAGTAGGCTGAGAAGTGCGTTCTGGCTTCTAGGTACGACATATATATATATTATATATAGTATATATATATATATATATATATATATATATATATATATATATATATATATATATATATATATATATATATATATATATATATATATATATATATATATATATGTCGTACCTAGTAGCCAGAATGCACTTCTCGGCCTACTATGCAAGGCCCGATTTGCCTATTAAGCCAGGTTTTCCTGAATTAATATATTTTTTCTAATTTTTTTCTTATGAAATGATAAAGCCACCCATTTCATTATGTATGAGGTCACTTTTTTTCTATTGGAGTTAAAATTAACGTAGATATATGACCAATCCTAACCAACCCTACCTAACCTAACCTAACCTATCTTTATAGGTTAGGTTAGGTTAGGTAGCCGAAAAAGTTAGGTTAGGCGAGGTTAGGTAGGTTAGGTAGTCGAAAAACAATTAATTTTTTTTTTTTTTTGAGATATATACAAGAGTTGTTACATTCTTGTACAGCCACTAGTACGCGTAGCGTTTCGGGCAAGTCCTTAATCCTATGGTCCCTGGAATACGATCCCCTGCAGCGAAGAATCGTTTTTTCATCCAAGTACACATTTTACTGTTGCGTTAAACAGAGGCTACAGTTAAGGAATTGCGCCCAGTAAATCCTCCCCGGCCAGGATACGAACCTATGACATAGCGCTCGCGGAACGCCAGGCGAGTGTCTTACCACTACACCACGGAGACTGCTTAAATATATTCATGAAAACTTGGCTTATTAGGCAAATTGGGCCTTGCATAATAGGCTGAGAAGTGCGTTCTGGCTACTAGGTACGACATATATATATATATATATATATATATATACCCATATATATATATATATATATATATATATATATATATATATATATATATATATATATATATATATATATGTATATATATATATATATATATATATATATATATATATATTATATATATATATGTGCGTTCTGGCTATATATATATATATATATATATATATATATATATATATATATATATATATATATATATATATATATTATTAAATATGACCGAAAAAGTAAGATTAATAATTCTAACACGAATTTTCTCAATCTTTCGTACATTTCTTTTCACTGCTGGTGGTAATTCAAAAATCAATTCTCCAAAATTCATTTTTATTTCTAGTCTGACGCGACACTTGAGCGCGTTTCGTAAAACTTATTACATTTTCAAAGACTTTAGTTTACACATACACAACTGAATAGAACTTACACACCTCCGATTTGTTTATATCTACATTTCTGTTAAAACCCAGGCTAACCAAGTGGCCAGTCAGAACACTAACCAATACTCGATAGCAGATCATTAAATGAGCTTTAAGGAGAATGACCTCATGTTACACATCTCAGTGACTCGTACGAATTCTGGGGATCTCTGTCCGACATCTTTGACCCTATTTTTAATTACATGTTGATGTCAGTGCACGCCATTTAATACGCATAAAGATACGATAAAGAATAAAAGTACTCACTGCAAGGGCCATCATGCAGCTTCCTCAGGCCATAGATAACACAGGCAGCTTTAAGCAGCAGGCAGTCATTGTCATATGTGACATGGTTTGAGCCACAGACTGGTTTCTTCTCGTTGACGCAGAGGGCAGTGCAGATGGTGCTCGTTGTCTCTGTTTTGAAAATACATTACTGCGACATGGTCTGGGATTGACGAAGATGTTGAATAAGTAGAAGTTTTTTAAAAACAAATAGTTTTTGTAATACATATTGTATACACACAGATATAACAATAACGTGATATATCAATGAACAAATTCACACTGGCCTTGATAAGGGTTCGAACCTATGTGCTGGATGTTCCTAGACGTGCCAAATCCAGCGTATAGGTTCGAACCCTCATCAAGGCCCATGTGGATTTGTACATTCTGTATTATGTAATATACAGAAAATATAAAGAAAAAATTATATACATATATAAATATTCATATATATACATATATGAATATTTTAATTGCATGATGGGGAATTAACCTCGGCTACCATCATCTTTTGTCCGGTCGTGATGGTCGAGTAGTTAAGGGGTCCTGTACACCAGTTGCAGAGTGCTCCTGGCAGTATGGGTTCGAGTCACTTCTGGGGTGTGAGTTTTCAGTTAGTTATATATAAATATATATATATATATTGTGACGATAATCTCTTTCTAGAGAGATTGAGCCTGCTCTTCCCTACTTTAAGTTACGCCAAAGACACAAGTATAAGATGCTGCATTAAAGATACGTCACCAGTAGCACAAAATGTTTTGACCAGGAGGCAAAACGTATTCAAGATCCCCCTACTCCACACACCCTCCACGCGCCGGCTCGTCATCAAACCAGCTAACTACCCTTCACCAGCTTGCCTGCCTCTGATTGGCGACTCGCCAGCCACGCACCTGTACCCAGCACTTCAGCGCCCTCTACACGAATCGACGTCTGAGCCTGACCAGCTATCCACTTCACAATATTCCTTGTGCTCTTACGGTTGACACCTCTCTCTGGCATACTCGCTCATTAGCTCTTATACGAAGGGAGGTTTCAGCCATACCCGATATTCTCGGCACCATTTTAACATTGTAATTTTGTATTTCACATTGTCTGTGAATTTTCTTTATTATTTAACTGTAATTTAACTTCCCGAGATTTGTCTTTATTTTCATTTATGTTTAAAGTAAATATATTAAAGTTTCATTGTTCATATTTTGTGTTTTACGTGTTCCTCCCTTTAACTTATCACAGACAACAGGCAAGCAGTCTATAATTTTGTAATTATAATTTTTACACTCCAACACTTTCCCATCACAATATATGTTGTTGAATATGACCGAAAAGGTAAGATAAATAATTTTAATACTAATTTTCTCAATATTTCTAATGTTTTCTTCACTGTCGGTGGTAATGGAAATATCAGTTCTCCAAAGTTCCTTTTTATTAATGGTCTGACGCCTAGAAATGTTTCGTAAGGGCTTCTTACATTCTCAAAGACTTATTTACACCTAACACTACACTTATGATACACTTGATACACTGTGTATGAAACATATGACATAACTCTTGCTTTTTATTGGTTTTGAGTGAGGTGGGTATTGGGTGAGGTGCGTACATGAGAATGGAAGTAACTGCAGAGGGCCTATTGACCCATACGGGGCCTTGAAGTGGGTAGAATATAGTTGTGCATTAATTGGCTGTTAATTGCTGGTGTTGACTTTTTGATGTGTAGTGCGTCGCTGATGTCGAGCCGCCTGCTATCACTGTACCTATCAATGATTTCTGTGTTGTTTGTTAAGATTTCTTTGGTGATGGTTTGGTTGTGAGAAGAGATTATATGTTCCTTGATGGAGCCCTGTTGCTTATGCATTGTTAGTCGCCTGGAAAGAGACGTTGTTTTCTTGCCTATATACTCAGTTCTTTGGGGCTTGCAGTCCCCAAGTGGGCATTTGAAGGCATAGACGACGTTGGTTCCCTTCAGAGCGTTCTGCTTGGATTTTGGGGAGTTTTTCATGAGTACATTGGCCGTTTTTTTTGGTTTTATGATAAATTATCAATTGTATTTTCTGATTTTTGTCTGTAGGGATAACGTTCCTATCAACAATATATTTTAGGACCTTTTCCTCCGTCTTATTAGCCGTCGAAAAGAAGTTCCTGTAAAATATTTTAATAGGGGGTACAGGTGTTGTGTTGGTTGACTCTTCAGAGGTTACGTGGCGTTTCACCTTCCTTCTTATGACGTCTTCAACGAAACCGTTAGAGAAGCCATTGTGTGTGTGTGTGTGTGTGTGTGTGTGTGTGTGTGTGTGTGTGTAAATCACGAAAATTAACACATGATGAAAAACGTGACAATGTCAGACCACGAAGGAAGAACTGAAATAGGAATTTCCTTAAGTACTTTCGTATTTTAATAATACATCTTCAGAAGGAATGTATTATTAAATTTAATAATACATTCCTTCTGGAGCATGTTTTCTCTAATACACATGTCATTAAACATAACAGCATTGAGATTATTATCAATTTTCTTTGAGATATTGTCCATTCTGTGCAAATATCATCTACCATCTGGAGGGTGAAGAAACACTAGATCACTAAATGAATAAATTCACAAGGGCCATGAACAAGGTTTGAACTTACGTGGAGGATGATCCCAGACGTACCTTAATCGACTGCGCCAAAACATGGTATAAGAATTGCAACCGGGATTGCTACTGCTCAAAGCTACTGCTTTGCTACTGCTATACCATGTCGGGGCGCAGTCGATTAAGGCTCGTCTGGGATCATCCTGGACGTACGTTCGAACCTTCTTCATGGCCCTTGTGGATTTATTCTTTTGATATATCACGCTAATGTGATTTCTGTGTGCACTAGATTACCTAATCTTTCCATCTTTATTCTTCGACGTTTTGCCAGCAATATGACATCTACAATAGTACACTGTTGAGCTGACACAGGTATACAGAGCTACAAGGTTGTTTGTTGTTGTTTTAGACTAGGCTACTCAGAACAAAAAGTTCTAAGAAGCTCGGACTATGGTGAGCCCGTAGTGGACTTACCTGGAACTGGAGCAGAGCTGAAACTTGATTTAACTTTCCTTGTAGCTTACAAGGAAAATCTAGAAATTTTTAAATTTGGGTACACTTCTCTTTACGATTCACCTAACCCCCTTAATTGTAAAGAGCGGCGAAAGGTAGGGGGACGTGATTGTTGCCTGATTCTGGCTTCTAGTTGTATGCCAGGTTTTACAACTTCCATCTGGATCAATAGAGGACCATCAAACAGCTGTGTGCTCGAAGACAAATTCATCTTGATGATGATTACTGATGTCAGTTCCCAAATGAAAACAGTCTCAAGTACACGATGCCTATTAAGATCGATGGAGAGTGTGATTACTGTCGTATCTTTCACTTTGTCTTGACGATTGAAGATGGTGTTGTGGTGATGAGAATGATGTTGTTTAATACCTCTGTCTTGCAAGATAAGTGTAAGACGTCTGCTCAATGTATTCGTGGTATGTCTAACATAGCATTTATTTTGGGGCACACAGACTCTAGAGTTGCATCTATATTGATGCAGTACACCTCAGTTTGTCAGTGGAGGCAGAGATGTTATTTCTCATAATGAGGGAATGAGGGAAGATGTACGAGGCTTATTATAATAAATGAGAGGAGGAATCATTGCGTTTTCACTGCAAGGTATACACTTCCTGTCAGTTAAATCTCGTATCACCTTCTCATTCTTCTTGTATGCCTGAGTGAATGTACAATAATACCCTACAATATTTTCTCTTGGGGGCCGATTTTCCACCCCTGGGGCCTGATTATCCTCAGTCAGATGGCAGCCTAGCTTCATACTTACGGTTTCGTCGAATTCTGTATTGCTGTAATCGTTGTTCACAATAATTTGGCGGATTCGTTGAAGTTCGTGGTTCAAGAGCTTCCAAGAAGAGCATGTACGTATTGCACGACCTACATATGCGTTGATGCTGCTTCTCTTATACCTGTCAGTGCTTTCACTCTTACCGTTCTTACATTTATCTGCATCGGTTGGTTTATCATATACATCAGTCATGAACCTACCCGAATTACCGACAACGAGAACATCGACGAATGGAATTCTGCCTCTATCACTTTTCTCAACATTGAACTTCAACCCTGAGAAGTCTTGTATCATGCCGCAACGCCTCACCAATGCGTTATCATTGTCAACACAAACGAATATATCGTCGAAGTATCTGCAATAGATACAAGGGTTCAGACCTTCCCTCAACACGATGGACGACTCAACATGAGACATGAATACCTGGGAGAACAAGACCCCCCCCCCCCCAATGGGGACCCCATTGCCACACCATCAATTAATGCACATGAAAGTACGACCTTGTATAAAAGTACTCACGGCAAGGGCCATTATGCAGCTTCCTCAGGCCACGGTTGACACAGGCAGCTTTACGCAGCAGGCAGTTATTGTCGTAGGTGATATTGTCAGAGCCACAGACTGGCTTCTTCACGTTGGGGCAGAAAGCAGTGCAGATGTTGCTCGTTGGCTCTGTTTTGAAAAGACATTAATGAGACATGGTTTGGGAGTGACGAAGATGTGGCATATTTATTATACATCTTCAGAGGGAATATCTTCATTACTTCTGGAAATTACTTAAGGAAATTCCTGCTTCAATTCTTCCTCTGTGGTCTGACACTGTCACATTTTTCCTCACGTGTTAATTTTCGTGATTTACACACACACACACACACACACACACACATTTGATGGGAACATCAAATGATCTCATGTTCCATACACTCATAAAAAAACAGTTAACAAATGAAATGAAAAACTATGAACAAATAAGTAAACTATATTCAAGAAATGAACGGTATGGTAAACAACACAGCTCAATTCTAACGCAATGTCACACAAAATAATTAAATCAAAATGAAAATAAATAAAAATTTATGAAAATCCAATTTGTCAATGTAATCGAAAAACACTGAAATAAAATTGTAACATATTTAAAGTAGCGTGTGTTGTTCTTATGTGCAACAGATGGCGCTGTTTCTTAAAAAAAATGTTTTAACCTGCTACAGGTGTGGCATCTATACTTAAACATACGAAATTAATTTTATGGTAAACAACACAGCTCAATTCCAACGCAATGTCACACAAAATAAATAAATCAAAATGAAAATAAATCAAAATTTATGAAAATTTAATCTATTAATGCAATAGAAAACATTGAAATTGAATCGTAGTATATTTAGAACAGAGTGTGTTGCTATTACTTGCAACAGATGCCGCTGTTTTTCAAAAAAGCAATATTTTACCTGTTACATGTGTGGCAACTATATAGTAGGTATAAAAAAATATGTGTGTATTCGAGTGGAACGTTGCGTCAACATTTCAAAGCAATCGGTCAAGAACCAAGTTTTCATGAATTAATATATATTCTCAAATTTTTTTCTTATGAAATGATAAAGCTACCCATTTCATGATGTATGAGGTCAATTTTTTTTTATTGGAGTTAAAATTAACGTAGTTATATGACCGAACCAAACCAACCCTACCTAACCTAACCTAACCTATCTTTATAGGTTAGGTTCAGTTAGGTAGCCGGAAAAGTTAGGTTAGGTTAGGTAGTCGAAAAACAATTAATTCATGAAAACTTGGCTTATTAGGCAAATAGGGCCTTGCATAGTAGGCTGAGAAGTGCGTTCCTGGCTACTAGGTACGACATATGTATATATATATATATATATATATATATATATATATATATATATATATATATATATATATATACATATATATATATATATATACATATGTATATATATATATATATATATATATATATATATATATATACATATGTCGTACCTAGTAGCCAGAACGCACTTTTTGGCCTACTATGCAAGGCCCAATTTGCCTAATAAGCCAAGTTTTCCTATATTAATATATTTTCTCTAATTTTGTTCTTATGCAATGATAGAGTTACCCATTTCATTATGTATGAGGTAAAAAAAAAATTATTAGAGTTAAAATTAACGTAGATATATGACAGAACCTAACCAACCCTACCTAACCTAACCTAACCTAACCTATCTTTGTAGGTTAGGTTAGGTTAGGTAGCCGAAAAAGTTAGGTTACGTAGGTTAGGTAGTCGAAAAATAATTAATTCATGAAAACTTGGCTTATTAGGCAAATCGGGCCTTGCATAGTAGGCTGAGAAGTGCGTTCTGGCTACTAGGTAGCCAGAACACGGTTGCTCTTCAGCCTATCATTTTGAAATCAGCTGTGCCTAACATCACCTACACCGGGGAAACCGTCCTTATCACTGACCTCACTGCTACCACTCCATATCCACTCGCCCGAGTCCACCTGGATTGTCCTTTCGTGACCGGCGAAGTCCAAGTCGCTATCAGGGAAAAGCCTTTTCCCATGTCTGGAGTGCAACTTCTCCTGGGCAATGACTTGGCCGAAGATCTGCAACCTTCCAACTTAATCATCATGGACAAACCCCAGGTATGTGACTCAGTCGTGGTAGACCCCATCTTGCAGTATGTTACACCGGAGGTCCAAGAAAGTGATGACGTCTCTCCTCCGGTTTTGGAGACAACCCGTGCACAAGCAACACGCGGCAACCAGCTGACTCTACTACATCAGCTGTCCCTTAAGACCATCCGAACCTACCACTGAATCGTACTATGTTGGAGTTCCGTAAGTTACAGAGGAAGGATCCTTCATTAACACCATTATTCTTCCAGGCCGAGACTCAACCTGACAGTATCCCTGGGTTCTTCTTAGAGAACCAATTGCTCTATCGGAGGTACAGACCCAGTAAGCTGACGGAGGATGACGAGTGGGCCAATGTCGACCAACTAGTTGTTCCCACCAGCCTGCGGCCCGAGATTCTACACCTGGCCCATGGAGCACTTTCTCACTACGGTATTAATAAGACCTATCACGCCATCAGACAAGACTATTACTGGCCAGGTATGGTTAAAGATGTGAAAATCTATGTACAGCAGTGTCATACATGTCAGATGGCAGGTAAACCTAACATCTCTATTCCCAAGGCTCTGTTGACTCCTATCCCAGTGCCTTCGGAACCTTTCCACAGGCTCATCATAGACTATGTTGATCCTTTACTCTGGATCAGTTCTGGCAACGCCTATATACTAACTATCCTGTGTCCTACCACCAGATTCCCCATAGCATTTCCCGTAAAGAACATTACGGCTGCTACTGTGGTGAAACAACTATTGAAGATCTTCACCCAGTATGGATTTCCAAGAGGTTCAAAGTGACTGTGGCACCAACTTCACCAGTGAACTCTTCAAGAAGACACTGGAAGAATTCGACATTACTCAGGTATTGTCCAGCCCCTATCATCCTGCTTCACAGGGTTCTCTTGAACGTAGTCATCAAATGCTTAAATCACTCCTAAAGAAATTTTGCAATGAAACCATGAAAGATTGGGACAAACAACTTGACCTTATCATGTGCACTTTCAGAAGTCTCCCAAATGAGTCTCTAGGAGTATCTCCTTATGAGATGCTCTACGGACGTAAGTGCCGTACTCCTCTTAAAGCTTTCAAAGACTCTCTACGTAATGCCACCTTCAGTGACCCTTTGCATGTGCCCCAGTTTCTTCAAAACTTAAAACACATTCTCGAGAGAGTGCGTAAATTTTCCAACACCAATTTGCTAAAAGCTCAAGATAAAATGACGACTCATTTTGACCAGCGTAGTAAAATTAGGAAATTTCAACCAGGAGACTTCGTTCTAGCATATTTTCCGATCCCAGGTTCTCCATTGCAAAACAAGTTTTCAGGACCCTACCGTATCAAGGAGTGCAGAAACAACCACAACTACGTTCTTGAGACTCCAGATAGGCGGCGGAAGACCCAGTTATGCCACGTCAACCTCCTGAAGCAGTATCAAGGTACTCCCCCCACTGTGTTAGTATCATTGTTCACTTTTCAAGGTCCATACCTCCACAGTGAGACCTTCTCTGCTTCTCCTTCCAGCACTAACTCTGAGTCAGTGCCTTCCAACTCGGAAATCCTAACTGATCTTCATAAATATTTGCAGGACTGTAATAGTGTTCCTCTCATCAAAATCTTCAAGGAACATCAGAAGTTGTTCAGTGATGATCCACAGGAGTGTAATGTGGTTCAGCACGACATCCAACTACTTCCTGACACCCGGCCGATTCGTCAACCTTTCTACCAAATCAGCCCGAGCAAAAAGGAAGTTATGCGTGCTGAAGTACAGTACCTCCTGGATCATGGGCTGGCCACCCCTTGTGAGTCCCCTTGGGCCTCACCCTGCATCTTGGTGCCGAAACCGCAAGGTAAAGTGAGGCTGTGTACCGACTACAGGAAATTGAATCTTGTGACTGTCAAGGATGCTTACCCATTACTTAGAATAGATGACATCCTTGACATCATTGGTAATGCTCGGTATTTATCCCAACTAGACTCTCTCAAGGGATACTACCAAGTGTGTTTGACAGAGCGAGCTAAGGAAATATCTGCCTTCACCACTCCTTTTGGCCTTTACAGATATGAACGCCTTCCATTTGGACTATGTAATGCCCCGGCCACCTTCCAGCGAGCTGTCAACCATGTCATCCATGGCTTAGATCACACCTACGCCTACTTGGATGATATCATTGTGGCAACTAACACCTGGAACGAACATCTGCTCCAGCTGCATCGATTGTTCGCCAAGCTCCTGACAGCCGGCCTCACCATCAACTTGGGCAAGTCCACCTTTGCTAAAGGTAAAGTGCGTTATCTTGGTCATGTGATAGGGAGTGGCAGCATAGCTCCGTTAAACATACACACTCACGCCATCCAGCATTACCCACAGCCTACCACCAGGAAGCAGCTCCTGCGCTTCCTTGGTCTTGCCTCCTGCTTCCTTGGTCTTGCCTCCTACTACCGTAGGTTTGTGAAGAATTTTAGTATGGTAGTGACACCATTGATCACTCTAACCAGCCCCAAGCAACGGTATCATTGGACCATTCAGCAAACCATTGCTTTTGAACTACTAAAATCTCTGCTCTGTTCTAATCCCCTTCTCACCTCGCCAGATATCACGAAGCCTTTCATCCTCCATGTCGACGCCAGTGGCACCGGCATCGGGGGCGTCCTGATGCAACAACGAGGCGAGGAGGTTCTTCCTGTTAGCTACTACAGCTACAAGTTGAAGCCACACCAAAAGAACTACAGCACTATCGAAAAGGAACTTCTCTCCATCGTCCTGAACTTACAGCACTTTGAGTCTTACCTACAAGGTGCTCGGTTTACCACCATCTACTCGGACACAGTCCTACGCTTCTTGCAGCAAGCCCAATTCAACAATCAACGACTTCTACGATGGGCTTTGTATCTGCAGAATTTCAACCTGGAGATCTTCTACATCAAGGGTTCTTACAACATCATAGCAGACGCTCTCTCCAGAGTCTATGAGGTAGAGGCAGCTACACATACCACCCTACCATCTGAAGGAATAACTTAACCCGTAGGAGCAGGCTTCGGGGG